AAGTGCTACGCTCCTACGATGTGTTTTAAGGTCCCGGAACGTGAGGCGTTTAAAACTCCTACTCCAGTGACCGCCGTCAGAGAACTGCCACCCTCGTCAACTCGGTAGGCACACGAGACAACAAGAGTGCTACAAGTGTATATGCATGTTTAAAAATTTAAAAATATACTCAACAGAGAGCATAAAAAGGCCGGTCGTCAGACGGACAGGGTGCACCATCAACACAACTAGTAGTATCTGCGAGGTGGATGCGAGTCGTATCTGCCATACTGCTGACCATTGCCTGGTGGCCGACGAAAGTTCCCTTGGTTTCCCTGCTGCGGATACCGATTGGCGCCTCGTGGAGGGGGACGATGAGAGGGGAAGGCGAGCGGCAACTGAGCCGGAGGTATGCTGCCGTATGGATTGGAGAACCGGTTGGTGGGTGGATACGCCGGTGGGTACTGCTGCGGCTGCGGCCGGTTGGTGTTGCGGAAGCTGTTGTGCGAGGGCAGGGCGTGGTGTATCATGCGTTCCATGGGTCGCGCGGCGTGCTGCTGCTGATGATAGGGTGCGGGCGTCTTATCCTCGGCTGCAAAGTTGGCACGCAGCTCACGCATGCCTCGACTGCCAGCGCCGGGGTTGTAATTGGCACCTTGACCAGGGGAGAAGGAGGGTGAGCGGTCCTGACCACGGCCACCACCATTACCTCGACCAAAGCCACCACGACCGCGTCCCCTGCCGCGCAGGGTTGAGGGCAACAGGTTAAGTGGAGCCGGCATCTTAACCTGAATGGAGGGCAGGAGACGTCATTTAAAGATGTCAGGCACTGTACGCATCATACGTCAACACTGAAAAAAGGCCACCAGAAGACAAAGTTCGTTTTCAGGGAAGAAAACAGTGGTGAGAACTGGGGGTAACCGCTAAAGAGGAAACTAGGTGTCCAAGTACAACAACTACCGAATATGAACCTTCTGATTCGGGGTCATTCCTAACGAGACCTATAGCCAGGGAAGCGGACGATTATGGATACAATAGTCTAGTGGCCGATTTATTTCAACCCAACCTGAAAGACGGGCGACTTCCCATCTGTCACGAGCGTCGGGTTGTTTAAGAGCAGTGCACGCTCTTGTCAGCGCCGGGTCAGCACGTAGACGACCATTCAACCGACCACGGCTTCATTTGAGGCTTTATTCAAAAACCGAGTCCAAGTTTTGCAGATAGTAAATTTAGAATGTCAATGTACCCGGCTACGGGAAGGGCAACTCAGATCTCACATGAGTGAGAATGTCATAAACACCACACTGGGAACGAATGCTGAGTTGTCCCCTCAGCTGGCAATCCTTCAAGTCGCGATTGGCCGCACTCTCTCCTCTTTCCCATGCATCAGGCAACGGTACGAGCCTGACAGTTGCTGACAAAGGTAAACAGCCTGGTTGTGCGCTTCGACAGTCCGACCGCTGGTTTCGAAGATGTGCAGCGAGCCCAATGTTAAGAAGATCGGAGGCGAGAGGAGGACGCAGATGACTGGCGCGGCGCAGACCTGCACCTAGGCGTTCTATTACACCTCCTGGATTTTAAACTCCAAGAAAGCAAATGTGACGGCTGGCACGGCCAGCACCGCCCCTAGGCGTGCCGCCACACCCGACTCGGATCCCACAAGGCTGAAGTGCCATAAAGACCACAGTAAGGAGTCATTGCAACCCGACTCTCAGACTACCAGCCGGCCGCCCCACACAAACACACACTAGGCTGACTGCGAGGTCCAGGTAATCTCGTCAGTTGGCAACCTTCTAGGCCACGGCTTTTGGCGCACCGTGATAGCTTCGAGCGCGTCAGATTTTTTATAGTGAGGAAAACGCGCTGAGCCGTCGACCTCACTCCCCTTCCCAGGCCCCAGCAACTGTCCGGTGCTGGGCGCAGTGGCGGGCATATCTGGTGACCTCGTCTGCGCCTGCTACATACAGGATCTGGCCCCCCCAAACACAACCAACAGGATTTCACACAACCGGGGCTGAGCGGCGTATTTCTCATGTGCGTGAGAGTGCCGTGGAAGGAGCTGTATTGGCCCGGCCCCCAACCCATCAGTCCTCCTCTCCACACAAACACGCACAACTGGACGGACTGCGTGGACCAAATTGGGGCGTCAATCAGCAGCCTTCCTATCCGCGAGTTGCTTGAGCCATGGTTCACGGAACCTCAGTCTATCAACAAGTGCAACGACATCCCCACTCCATATTCCGTGTTGAGGCATAGGCTGGCCAAGGTAATTGACCACTCGGGGAGCACACAAGCCGGTGTGCCAGATGGCCGAGCAATCATCATGCCAGCATCCAACACGGGTGATGAGATTTAGGTAATGCACAACTTGTATGCCGGCCATCAAGCAACTAGCGCACCAGCGGGCAACAATCCTTGATGAAGAGGAGCGCGGCTAATTGCTATAGGTATGCCGTATCATAGCGACTGCATCCTATAAATACTGCAACTTCCTGTGCACAAGTCACCCTTTTCTGCCACTGCCTCTGATAATGGATTCAAGTGAGAATCCGAAACGTCAGGCAAATAAAGCCCGTTGCAGCGATCGCTTCTTCTTCTGATGGCTAGTAACGTCGTCTGCGCGCGCCACATACAGGACCTGGCCTCCCAAGCACAAACAACAGGATTTCACACAACGGGGGTTGAGCGGCGTATTTCTCATGTGCGTGAGAGTGCCGTGGAAGGTGGGAGGTGGCATTTGGGTGCTTTGGATGGGTAATGTTGATGTGTGGTGAGATGGTGGTGAAGGAGAAAAGGTGGGATGGTGTGGTACATCCAGCGGTTGACTACCACAGGCTTTCGTGGACGCGCATGTGTTCGAATTCCATACGATGCGTGAATGTGCGAGGGCAGTGTGGACAGCGGAGGCGAGTGCGGTGGGTGTAGGTTGGTACTCCAGGCACTGGTTCGTCAGTTTCTGTGCGATGAATTCGCAAGTGACCGAACAGGCCGATGCGTGAGGTGAATGTGCGGGGACAGTGTGGACATGAGAGGTCGGTGGTGTCGGTTACGGCGGTGGTGATGATGATGGTCGCACAGGGCGACGGAATGGGAGCAGAGTTGGGCGCGGTGGGTGTGTTGGATGTTGTCGATGTGTCGAGACTGCGGTCAATTCCGCTCTCGTGGATGCGCATGTGGCCGAACAGGCCCATGCGATGCGTGAGAGCGAGAGGGCAGTGGTGTCGAGGGCGACTGGTGTAGGTTGGTGCTCCAGGCACATACACGACCCGGACAAAAGACAAAAAGGACAAAACTAACCGAGTCCAAAAGACGGGCGGGAAATATGTGTCCAAAGGGATAGGCCGGGTTCTCAAAAAATGCACTGATAGCACGCTGTTTCACGGCAGGAATGTCTGGCAGGAGGCTGGGCACCCCGGAGCGCATCCGATGGCCTGGCAGACAGGCGCAGTCGTAGTCTGGCCAAACTCGACCGGACAAACCCTCGGTGAGGGCCGCATTGATGATTGTGGAGTGCTCTGGCGCCTGACCTCCGTACGTCACTAATTCACCGGTCGCATGTTGGCTATCCCCATTTCTCCCCTGTTCCTCGTACAGCGAGGCGAGGTACTTGCCCATCTCCGTG